TATATATATATATATATATATGAATGTGTATACATATGTCGGCGTTGAAATCAGAATATCGGAGTATCGGAGGGATTCACGCGTGCAAGGGAAGAAAGGTCGCACGTTTAAAATGACCGGCCGAGTCAATCGCGTGTATTCCCGGAAAGAAGCGAGAAAGTGGAACGTTAACCGAGTTCAAAAACGAAAGTCGTGCACACGTTGATTACAACGTGGATTCACATTATATTGACACATGTGAGCCTCGGTACCGTTCATCCAGTTTACTAGTAAATTTCTGCCCTTGCACAAGGTCTCGCGAAACAGGTTCATTCAATTCTTTTTTCTTTCTTTTTTCGTTCAAGAACACTCGGTTCGTGACGAACGCTGTAAAAATCCCGTAAGTTCATTCACATTCAACGTTATTTTCCGATTTCCGTTGCGACGCGAAAGAAAATCAGAAGATCGTACTTCCAAAATGTTAAAGCAACGATTTATTCGTAAAAGAAGAAAGTAGTCGAAAAGTGCATGTCTCTGGTAGAATAGACTTTCCTCGAAAGCCGGGCAGAGTAGTGCACTAGCGACGGGTGACACCCATCAGCTGTCAAATAGCGAACCGGATTAAGCGTAGGGTAGCCTCGAACGAGCGTGTTTGTCCGGCTGGCGACTTAATAAAGGACGGGGAACGCGGCGCGGGCATGCGGAAGCGAAACGAAAATCCGATCGGTGAGAATCGATCGAGCACGCCTATCTCTCGCGGTCATGTCTCGCGGTGCAAATCCTTCGACATACCGCGAGAAATGATGATGCCCGTCTGTTACAAACGTCTGGGAATCGCGTTAATTTGTAGGTTAGGTCGTGACACTTGGCCGAGAACCGACGACCCAACTTCGACGGTTTAGAAGAAGCTACTCACTGTCCTCGTCCGTGTACTGTTCCGGTCTGAGATGATCCTCTGTGGCTTGTGCCGGGCCAGTGAAGCTTGTCTCGACCACTTCGATCACGTCCACATTGTCGCCCGAAGCCATTTTGTACGTGCCTTCTTTCAATCCACCGAGCGCACTGACTCACGTACGGTGACGACGATCTTCCTGACAGTTTCGCGAAGACGCCTCCTCTGTCGTCGCTTTACACGGCAGCATCTTTCGAGTTCGAGAAACACGGCACGTTCAGGCCGACGTGTACATAACGCGCACTTCCTCGCCGAACATTCTCCTCGTTTCAACTCGCGCGTTGACCGTTTCACTACGATGGAGAAAAAAAAATATGTGTATATATATATATTATATATATATATGTATCAATGATATAGACGGCCTCAAAGGCTCTCCAGCTCCGGGCTGAGAACACCCACGAACCTCGAGAGCGCCTCCGGCCTCCCTGCTATTCGTCTATTGACCGGACGCCATCTTGCCCCGATTTCATCGCCATCTCTCGGCGATACCTGCAACCTGCACGTGCCCCGAGGCGCCTCTAGTTGTAATCACCTATATTTTAACGACTTGTTGTACACGCATTTTCGTGTATCTTATGTATATTGAAGTATCGTCAATTTGCCAATTCGAAGAAAATAACGACGCGAACGAGTTAACGAGCGATTGGCAAGAATAAAAATTCTGATTGCAAAATGTTCTTTTATTAAATGGTTACCGACTGCAGATCTGGCGCGGTTCAATTTAAAAATTCTAAGTAGACGATGAGTACACGACGATTGAAATAGAGATTGACTTCATGAATAAAAGCGAAAAAATAATAAAGTACGCGAAATGACTAAGTGTAATATTACGCAAGTGAAAGTTAAAATGCGTGTTTACGTGTGCTTCTATCAATGAATCTACGAGCTATTGAACGACATTAAGATTACGATAAAGTTGCTATGCGTATTACGAGATTAGCACATACATCAATGTATCATGCATGACACGCATATCGAACTATAATTAGCTATAATCTTTTATATTTTATGTACCGATTTGGAAAACACGCAACATTCTATTTTCGCTTCTATTAGCAGATAGAAAGTCTCTATATTTATGCTTTTAAATTAGGCTGAATACAGCGATAGACGCTAATGATATCGGTCTTGAAATTGATTACTCACATTTAGTCGCGCGATGAAAAGGTAAATTTCTCAGTTGTCGGAAAAATAATTTCTCACTTCGTCAAATTACATTGATCATCAGCATCAACTTCAGCAATGCTTGTAAAAGTAAAAACTTTATTACTCTGTAAGTGAATGTGCTGCGTGCATTCTTACATATCGAGTGTCATTCTTATGATTTCCAGTTATATCATGGTTAGATTTAAATGGCCTTTCAACAAGATACAAATGCAACGAGTGATTCTTTTGACAATTATCAGTATGATTTCGTACGGAATACTGAAGGATCACATGAAATATGAAAAAGAGGTAATTAAGTATATCACGTCCAATCATGAAAGATGATAATTTCTGGCCATCGAATTAGAATCATTCAATTTTATTAAAAATGTGAAGAATGTCGAAGTTTCGAGTGATTCTAATTCGATGGCCAGGGATTACACTTTTTTTACTTCCCTTGACGCAATCATCGCCCAACGTATATCGTTACTCCTTCAAATGTTGTGTACCAAGAGAAGACTGCAACACGGTACGCAAATTTATCGGAGTTATGAGTCATCGTTCGATTGAATTGTTGGCAAGCTACACTATTGGAATAACTCGCTAACATCCGGTGCCATTAATTCATCGTGTCCAGTCCGTTCATTAGAGAGCACATTGATCGTGTAAAATGTTTCACATAAAAGATTTCGCCTAATGCGCGGCCAGATGGACGAGATTTATAGCGGGCAATCCACAATTAATTATCATACCGTTCGATGAGACTTTCTTCATTCGATTCGGTGTATTTTGTATGGTGTTCTTGGTATTTCTCCCCAGATTCATGAGCTTCTTCGTTACACGTGTGTAGAAAATCTAACACGCCCCGGCACTGTTGCACCGCTGTACAGATATATCACGCGACGCGTCATAGATACTTGAACCGCTGCCGTGATACGACAATTAATAATACATAATTTCTACAATGCGTGTAACGTCGAATTTTACTCGGTTCTCTATACAATGGCTCACGAAAGTATTTAAGATTTATAAGAGTATTTATAGTTTAGAAGACCCTTCTTTGAAAATTAAAACTTCTCTCACCAATTAAATTTTAGAAATTTAATTATTGTTACGCTTACCTGTGATTATATAGATAAAAACAAGGAAGAAAAATAAGAAAGTGTCCGAATACTTTTGAGCGTACATATAACGGAGATTCGATATCAATTAACAACACTAAACAGAAGTATTGAATCTGTTTCGTGAATTGTTCATTCGATTTGACATTAAGGAACAGATGCTGGTCACGAAAGAGATGCGTGACGCCAGTTACGAGGCAATTAGTCGTTCTCAGAATCCGAACGAGCATATTTTTAACCTGACTATTCAACAAGATAACATGATGTCGCTGTGTTCACCTCGAGGCGTGAATAGATTAGTTTTTTCACTCTGTTATCGAGGAATAGTCATTACTTTCTCTCTCTCTCTCTCTCTCTCTCTTTCTTCGATATCAATCTTTTCATCGATTACACAGCGCATCACTGTGCCTGGCCGAGTTCCTCCGGGATAAAAACTGATTATCCCGACGTACGATTTCTGCCTATATTAATCGTCCTTTACCGCTACGAATCCCGCTAGCTTCGATGCCGGAAAGATCGCAAACATTAGATCGAAATCAAACGCGCGCCATCGAATAACAGAAACCATTTCTTACCGCGGTTAAATGGCAAGTATGCGAATTAAACCGAGGAACGCGATAATGCTCATGAACATAGAACGCGCGTAGATCCACGATACTCGGCTATACAGGGTGCTTCAGAAGGTCGATGTCAAACTTTAGAAGCGTGTAACAATTAAAAGGGTGTTAACAAGTACGAGTCAAAATATTATTAGTCTCAGAGTTGTACAAAGTTTGATTTATCTAATGATAGTGGGATCTCATTACAGTGCTAACGAGCGAGTGTTATTGTATTAAAGTGAAAGAAACATATACTTTTATTATTGCTGTTAGATGACATCGGTCAAATTACAATAGTGACAGTGTATGAATTGATAATTTATTTGATGAATTCCAGATAGGCACGAAGTCTCTCGTGCTGTTATAAACTCACACGATTGAAAGCGACTTGTAACTCTGAAACTAATGACATTCGGACTCGAATAAATTCGATAAGAATTTGTTTCAATGAGCATTCCTCAAGTTTTTGAAACACTGTGTATAGAAAGGGGAAGGAAAAAAAAAGGGGAAAGAAGGAAAATATCGTTTCCTGTATGCCCTCGATCGAACGTGTTCCTGCCATATCGCATTAAGACGCGTGCTTCGTGATCAGTCGGCTCGATTATTAAGTCGTCGATATTTAAACGTATTAATCAACAGTGACCTTAATTAGTTTGATAAAGGAATCAACTATGGACGATAGTCCATACTTGTGTAAATATCTATGTAACGACGATCGTTCCTGAGGAATTGTTTCCGAACAATACATAAAAAAACAGGCCACT